GGGACAGCTAGGGACAGCTAGGGACAGCCAGGGACAGCTAGGGACACCTTGGGACATCTAGAGACACCTAGGGACAGCTACGGACACCTAGGGCACCTATGTTCACCTAGGGACAGCTCGGGACAGCTAGGAATCGCTAGGGACACTTAGGGACAGCTAGGGACATCTAGGGACAGCTAGGGACATCTAGGGACAGCTAGGGACACCTAGTGACAGCTAGGGACACCTAGTGACAGCTAGGGACACCTAGGGACAGCTAGGGACAGCTAGGGACAGCTAGGGACAGCCAGAAATACAGTGGCGGATTAAATTGTCCACATGTTTTGCCTTTTTTGGCATTTTTATGAGTGCAGAGGCGTATACATTAAGCCTTAATGTACGGTGTGCATTAACGCTGAGAAGTTCAGTTAGAGCAGTCACTCCAGTGTTCAAACACCAAAGTAGTACCACACATGGTCCTTAAACTCCTAAGCATAGCATGGGAGAACATGTGGACAATTTGTACCGGAAAATGGTATCACACTAGATTCTAGGAAAACTAGTACCTAGTCCAGCGTCCCTTTGCCCGAATCACTGCCTTGATCCTCCTCGGCAGGCTGTCGATCAGGTTTGCACACACCTCCGGCGGTATCTTGTCCCATTCCTCCTGCACCCTCTCCCACAGCTCCAGCATTCCCCTTGGCGGCTTTTCGTACTTCCCCAGCTGCCTTTTCAAGTATGCCCACAGGTGCTCAATTGGGTTAAGGTCCGGGGAGCACGACGGCCATTCCAGCACCGCGTACTCCTGCTCCCCAAGCCAGTCTTGGACCAGACGACACCTGTGCTTGGGATCATTGTCGTGCTGGAAAATGACCTCTGAGGGGGAAAGCTTGAAAAAATCGATGGTCTGTTTGAGCTCATCTTGCAAGATGCTGCGATACAGCGGCCCATCCATCCTGCCATCTATCTTGCACATGAACCCCGCCCCCTCATACGTCATGCAACCCCACACCATCACAGAACCGCCCCCATGCTTAACTGTCTGTTGGACTTGGTGGCTCCGAAGGCTGGTGCCCTCGCGAATCCAGGCGTACGCACGTCCGTCGGAGCAGTAGCGGTTAATCTTCGTCTCGTCAGACCAAATCACCCGCTTCCAGTCCTCCAGCGTCCAGTCGGCATGCGCCCGCGCGAAGTCGAGACGATCGCGGATGTTTTTCGGTGAGAGCCTGGGTTTCTTGGGCTGATGCACGGCGATCAGCCCCGCGGATCGTAAAGAGTTGCGGACCGTCTTCGAGTCTACGGCGAGATCGTGCTTCTCCAACAACATCTTGGCCGCGTCTGAAGAGCTTTTCGCCTCGCCGCTAGTAATCGCACGTATAACTCCGCGCTGGAGACGGGTTGTGATTAAGCGGGGGCGGCCGGCCGAAGGCATCGTAGGTCGCACCTCCTCGCGACTAGTCTCCTCAGCGAGTTTCATACCGTAATCGTGCACGGTGCTCTTGCCTATGCCAAGAAGTTTCCCTATTTTCCTAGTCGAATGCCCCGCACGCAACATGCTTCTGATCCTCGCGCGCTTCTTCTCATTTAACGGCTTCATAGCGATGCGGTCGTAGGCTCGCTTCCGGACTAACAACTAAGCTAGGAACTGGTGCGCGTGACGATGTACACACTGAGCGACGGGGGAAAATAGATCTACTCTTCCGCTCGGTAGGAAATGTCCACATCGACAGTCGAGTAGTAAATTTCAACCCCACTTTCCGTTAGTGTCACAATCGCGCCAAGCAAGAAACGGATGAAGCAGAACTCAAAAACCGAGTAACAGAATGGAAAAAAACGGGTGTTACTATTTTCGAAACATGTGTTGCATAACGATACGTTTCAAAGTGTTAAACATCCGGGCAATTTAATCCGCCACTGTAGCTAGGGACAGCTACGGACAGCTAGGGAAAGCTAGGTACACCTAGGGACACCTAGGGACACCTAGGGACACCTAGGGACACCTAGGGACAGCTAGGAGCACCTAGGGACAGCTAGGTACAGCTAGGGACAGCTAGGGATAGCATGGGACAGCTAGGGACACCTGGGGAAACCTAGGGACAGCTAGGGACAGCCAGAGACAGCTAGGGACAGCTTTGGACAGCTAGGGACAGCTACAATAAGCTAGCGATACTTAGGGATACCTAGGTACACCTAGGGACACCTAGGGACATCTAGGGAAAGCTAGGGACACCTAGAGACAGCTGGGGACAGCTAGGGATAGCTAGTGACAGCTAGGGACAGCTAGTGACAGCTAGGGGCACCTAGGGACCCCTAGGGACACCTAGGGACACCTAGGGACAGCTAGGGACGTCTAGAGACACCTAGGGACAGCTAGGGCCACCTAGAGACAGCTAGGGACCGCTAGGGACAGCTAGGAACACCTAGGGACAGCTAGGGAGAGCTAGAGACACATAGGGACAGCTAGGGATAGCTAGGGACAGCTAGCGAGAGCTAGGGACGCCTAGGGACACCTACGAACACCTAGACACACCTAGGGACAGCTAGGGACACCTAGGGTCACCTAGGGACAGGTCGGGACAGCTAGGAACCGCTAGGGTAACCTAGGAACAGCGAGGGACAGCTAGGGACAGTGAGGGACAGCTAGGGACACCTAGGGACATCTAGGGACACCTAGGGACAGCTAAGGACACCGAGGGACATCTAGGGACACCTAGGCACAGCTGAGGACAGCTAGGGACAACTAGGGACAGCTAGGGACAGCTAGGGACAGCTAGGGACAGCCAGAGACAGCTAGGGACAGCTAGGGACAGCTAGGGATAGCTAGGGACAACTAGGGATAGCTAGGGACAGCTAGGGAGAGCTAGGGGACACCTAGGAACACCTAGGGACACCTAGGGACACCTAGGGACACCTAGGGACACCTAGGGACACCTAGGGATACCTAGGGACAGCTAGGGACAGCTAAGGACACCGAGGGACATCTAGGGACACCTAGGGACAGCTAGGGAAAGCTAGGGACAACTAGGGACAGCTAGGGACAGCTAGGGACAGCTAGGGACACCTAGGGACACCTAGGGACACGTAGGGACAGCTAGGGACAGCTAGGGACACCTAGAGAAACCTAGGGACACCTAGGGATCCCTAGGAACACCTAGGGACAGCTAGGGACAACTAGGGACAGCCAGAGACAGCTAGGGACAGCTTGGGACAGCTAGGGACAGCTAGGGAAAGCTAAGGACACCTAGGGAAACCTAGGGACACCAAGGGAAACCTAGGGACACCTAGGGACCCCTAAGAACATCTAGGAACAGCTAGGGATAGCTAGGGACAGCTAGGGACACCTAGGGACAGCTAGGGACAGCTAGGGAGACCTAGGGACATCTAGGGACACCTAGGGACACCTAGGGACAGCTAGGGACAACTAGGGACACCTATGGACAGCTAGGGAAACCTAGGGACAGCTGGGGATAGCTAGGGACAGCTAGGGACAGCTAGGGGACACCTAGGGACACCTAGGGACACCTAGGGACACCTAGGGACACCTAGGTATACCTAGTAACACCTAGGACACCTAGGGAAAGCTAGGGACAGCTAGGGACACCTAGGGACACTTAGGGACAGCTAGGGATACCTAGGGACAGCTAGGGACACCTAGAGACAGCTAGGGACACCTAGAGACAGCTAAGGACACGAAGGGACACCTAGGTACACCTAGGGACAGCAAGGGTTAGCTAGGGACACCTAGGGACAGCTTAGGATACCTAGGGAGACCTAGGGACATTTAGGGACACCTAGGGACACCTAGGGACAGCAAGGGTTAGCTAGGGACACCTAGGGACAGCTAGGGATACCTAGGGACATTTAGGGACACCTAGGGACACCTAGGGACAGCCAGGGACACCTTTGGACATCTACGGACATTTAGGGAACCTTAAGGACACGTGGGGATAGCTAGAGACAGCTAGGGACATCTAGGGACAGCTAGGGACAGCCAGGGACGCCTAGGGACACGGGTGGACTTCTTTCAGACCTTCGCTCGGACCCTGAAGATGACTACTCTTCGGGCTCTGCTATACGTAGCAACACAGCGTGACTACGAGCTGCACTCCCTTGACTTCTCCATAGCCTTCCTCCAGGGTAGTCTACACGAACAGGTCTACTTGCGCCGCCCCTAGGGCTTCTCTGGTACCTTTCCCCCTGGTACCAAGTCTCTCCTCCGGCGCCTCGTTTACGGCTTGCGATACGCGCCCCGTCAGTGGCACGATACGCTGCGTGCTACACTTGCTGACCTGTAGTTCTTCCCGTCGTCTGCAGACCCCTCGCTCTTGTCTCTCATTAGGCACTGTCCCTATCCAGTCTAGGGGGTGTGTCAAACATATCATTGCATGTTGTTATCGACTAAACAAGGTTGTGCCTTAGAGAGTACAACCCACTAGGTTATATTCTCCTGTATGCCTGGTTCTACTCATTCGTTAACTTTGATTTCCAAGCACCTGTTCTAATCTGATTGCTTCCCCCCCTCTTGCCCCCTTCCTTCCTGCCCCCTTAAGCATGCTTCACTCCAGGTCGTCGAGCTACTTGGTGCTGCATTTTACTCTAAGAAAGCTGTTAAGAAAGTGCTTGGATTTTCCGCCTATTCACGATGGCATGTTTGTTAAAGTATTGCCTGCTAGCACTTGCAGACACGTGGAGAGCAGAGTGAAGTGGGAGTAAAAAAGCTGCGTAATGTACAGCGGAGTACTTGACACGCTGATATAGTATTGAATCTATAATAGATGCATGTTACGCATTGCCGCTGTGTTGTAAACCAACCAATGTACATGTTTGTGCAAAACTGTTGCTTTGCACTCTCCTAGCGTGACAATCTAGCAATTCCTTGTAACAGTTTTTCCAAGTGTACTCACCAATGCCACTACATAATATCGGTGCTGCTTCTGAGCTGCAGGTCTATCCACCCATCCCGCTAGGCTCCCTCAAAATCCCCGCCAGAACCCTCACCCCTGAACCTTCACTTCGATTTCCTCTGAGCGCAGTGTATCTTCCCCCAAAGAATTGCCGCACCTACTGCACACGTCGCTGCGTTCCGCCCTCTTTCTAGACTAGACAAGTCTGGTTCGACTGCCCAGGCCACTCCCCCAGCGAGCGTGCTCGTCTCGCTCGCGCTTCCTTCGTTCCCCTGCCTTGGTGCTCGTATAGTAACACGAATTTGTAATTTTAGTCAAGCCAGTCAAACTTCGCCGCGCCAGCATGGCGCGTCCCGACGCCCTTCAGTCTAGATCCCCCGGGGGCGGCTTCCGCGGTGGCTCCCGCGGAAGGGGCGGCTTCCGCGGGGGTTCCCGCGGGAGGGGCAGGTCAAGCTCGCCTGGTCGGGGCGGGAGTTTTGGCGGCGGCCGCGGCGGCGGTCGCGGGGAGATTGGTGGCGGTAGGGGAGGGGGGAGAGGAGTCAGCAGGGGAGGCGGGAGAGGGTTCGGGGGAAGAGGCGGCGGGGGCAGGGGGTTTGGCGGAAGGGGAGGGGGAAGAGGGTTTGGGGGAAGAGGCGGGGGCAAGGGTTTTGGCGGAAGGGGAGGGGGAAGAGGGTTCGGAGGAAGAGGCGGGGGCAGGGGTTTTGGCGGAAGGGGACGGGGAAGGGGCGGCGGAAGAGGCGGCGGATTTGACGGCGGGAAAGGCGGCGAATTGGATAGCGACGAGGAGGAGGTGGATGCGGGGTACGAGGTGGCGGAGGAGCTGCCGGAGGAAGCTTCCGCGAAGAACCGGCGGTACGATGACGTGGACGTGTACGAGTACGAGCTCCCGGCGGACTTTGAGGTGAGGGCGGGTGCGCCTTCAGAGGGCGGGCTTTGAGAGGGTGAGGCTAGAGAGGTGAGGGAGGGAGGGGTTTGAGAGGGTGGGGCTAGAGAGGTGAGGGAGGGAGGGGTTTGAGAGGCGATCGACGGGGTTTTAAAGGTGAGCCAGAGCCTGTGGAGAAGCGAGTAACGACGTGGAGAAGGAGGGGTGGGGTAACGTTTGAGTGGACTTAAAAATAGACTCATTTTTGAGTGGACTTAAAAATAGACTCATTCCACACAGAGCCTGGCACCGAGAGGACGGGGAGAAGGAGGGATCGAGGAGGAGAGAGCTTGACACATTTTCTGCGACAGCGGTTTTTCACGGCAGAGGAGAATACTTACGCATCTGAGTCGACTGAGAATTAACGGGGTTCAGTGGCGGAGGAGAATAACTTACGCTGCCCCCCCTCCAACCTTTCCTCTTCCCAATCCGCGACCCCCCTCCCCTCTTCCCCCCCTTCCCTTCCCTTATCCCCTCCCCCGCTCCCTTCCCCTCAGGACGAGGAAATTGACGAGGACGAGGCTTTTACCGAAGAGGAGAAAAAAATGGGGATGGGGCGAGGGGCGGAGGAGGAGCATCACTTACCCTTCCCCCCCAGCCCCCTCAACTCCGCCCACCATCTCCCACCCGCACTCCACTCCCCTTCCCTGTTCTTCTTTTCAGGACGAGGAGATCGATGAAGACGGGGCTTTTACCGAAGAGGAGAAGAAAATGGGCATGGGGCGAGGGGCGGAGGAGGAGGGAGAGGAGGAGGAAGAGGAGGAGGAGGAGGAGGAGGAGGAGGGAGGGGGTATGCTTGATAGTGACGAAGAGGAGGGGGAGGAAGACGAGGAGGAGGAGGAGGATGAGGATGAGGGGGAGGAGGGAGAGGGGGAGGAGGGTAAAGGATGGGAAAAGGGGAGAAAGAAGCTTGGGAAAACGAAGGGTTTCGGAGAGGGGGAGGATGGGGAAGGGGAGAGCGAGGAGGAGGGCGAGGGAGTGGAGGGAGAAGAGGAGGACGAGGGAGAGGAGGAGAGTGAGGAGGACGAGGAGGACGAGGATGAGGAGAAGCATCAGCAGCTGTTGGCCGATGTGGTGGCGAGACAGCAAGGCAGGGAAGGTGAGTCGAGAGGGAACCGGGAGGGGCATAGCAGGCGAGTTTAGAGAGTCATGGAAGGTGGGTCCAGTCATGGAAGGTGGGTCCAGTCATGGAAGGTGGGTCCAGACTCCAGGGCATGTATGGCAGGCAGGAGCACTCTGGTGGCTGTTGGCCGATGTGGTGGCGAGACAGCAAGGCAGAGAGGGTGAGGCGAGATCGAAATGGGGAGGGGCGTAGCTGGCGAGTTTAGAGAGACATGTGTATGTGTTGCAGGAGCACTCTGGTGGCTGTTGGCCGATGTGGTGGTGATGCATGCATGCAGCAGGGCAGGGAAGGTGAGATTAGAGAGAATGGGGAGGGGGGCATGGTGGTCCGAGTCTGAGTTGAATCTCGATGAATCTCCCTTCCTTTCTTACTAATGCGCTCTCTCCCTCCGTTCTTGCCTCTCCCCATCTCTCCCAGCTAGGAAGCCCCGTGGCGGCATTGCCCTCAAGGCGTCAGCAGTGGTGTCTGAGAATCTACCCGAGTCCGAGTTCAATCTCACAGCAGCCAAGGGAGCAGCCCTGGCAGCCGCAGCCGATGCAGCAGCAGCAGGTTCGGCAGCAGGAGGGGCGGCAGCTTTCCCTGCCACTGCACCAGGCTCGGCAGCAGGCTCGGGAGGATTGTCCGTGGAGGATTTGCTCCGGCCGTTGGGGCAGGGCGGGGCTGGTCTGTCAGGCTCGGCAGTGGCAGGCTCGGCAGCCGCAGGCTCGGCAGCAACAGGTCTGGGAGTTGCAGGTTCGGCACTGGCTGGGCTGAAGAAGCAGATGAGGAGGATAGAGGAGAGCGGGGCGCCTGACACGGGCCCGCTGCCAACGATCGTGCGAGAGCGGCTGGAGAGGAAGTGAGTGGGTTGGGGTTGTGGGTACAGCATTGTATCAGGTGCTCGCGCACGATCATAAGGTGTAAGGGGGGTCATAAGGGGTGGAGCTGTATTGAGGGAGGACAGAAGCGAGTCGGGCTCTTGACGCGGGCCCTCTACCGACGATCGTGCGAGAGCGGCTGGAGAGGAAGTGAGTGGTTTGAGGTCTTAGGTAGGCAATGGTCTAGGCACATAGCGTAGATGGTTAAGCAGATGAGGAGTTGCAGGAGAGGAGAGTGGGGCTCCTGACACGTGATATAAGGTTGGTTTTGAGACGTCTCAAAACGGGCCTGGTGTCAACGATCGTACGATAGAGACTGGAGTCGAAGTGAGTGGTTTGAGGTTCTTGGTACAATTGGTTTTTTTAGGCGCATCAACAAGAGTATATCTTCTTGTCATACTTTCTCTCTCTCTCGAGAGAGAGTTAATTCAATCGCCCTACCCTTCTCCTCTCGTCCACCTCTTTCTCCCCCCCCATTCTCCCCCCCTTCGTCCTTCCCTACTAATCCCACCTTCGCCCCTCCCTTTCCCCTCAGAGCGGCGTATGAGGCTTCGTCCAAGGAAGCGGCCAAGTGGCTGTCCCTGGTGCAGCAGAACCGTCAGGCCCGCACCCTCAACCTCGTCCACGAGATGCCGTCCCTGCCCGTGCTCCTGTCCCCACTCTCGTTCCCCAATAGACGAGCTGCCCTCCCTGCCCTCCCTGCCCTCCCTGCCCTCCCTGCCCTCCCTGCCCATGCTCAAGTCCACGGAGAGTGGCTCGGGCGGCTGCCCCCTCCCTGCCCTCCCTGCCCTCCCTGCCCTCCCTGCCCATGCTCAAGTCCACGGAGAGTGGCTCGGGCGGCTGCCCCCTCCCTGCCCTCCCTGCCGTCCCTGCCGGTGCTGAAGTCCACGGACGTGCTGGTCAACAAGTTCAAGCGTCACACCAACTCTCTCCCTTTTCCCTCCCTTCTCCCCCCCTTCTTCTTCCCTCCTCTTTCCCCCCAGGGCTGCCTACGAGGCTTCTTCTAAAGAGGCGGCCAAGTGGCTGCCCTTGGTGCAGCAGAACCGTCAAGCCCCCTCCCTGAATCTTATCGATGAGCTGCCGGCCCTGCCAGTGCTAAAGTCCACAGACGTGCTGATCAACAAGTTCAAGCCTCAGACGGACATGGAGAAAGAGATCGCTGCTGCGCTGGCTGCTGCTGGGGTGGGGGACGACAGGAAGATCGCGAATGGGGAAGCTCTGGCTCTAAACAAGGTGAGCTGACAAGGTCAGTGTGGCTCGGGTAGCTGCCCCTCCCTGCCGGCCCTGCCAGTGCTAAAGTCCACGGCCGTACTGGTGAACAAGTTCAAGCCTTAGCCGACATGGAGAAAGAGCTTGATGCTGCTGCTGGCCACTGCTGGGGTGGGGGACGATAGGAAGAACGGCAATGGGGAGGCGCTGGCTCTTAACAAGGTGAGCTGGGAATTCTGGTGTATGTGTGGTGCTCAGTAAGTGTGGGGCCTTTTTCAGAGTCAGCTCAGTAAGTAGGTTGTGCAAGTTGCTGCGGCTGGTTTTGGGGGTGGTTGGACGATCGCTATTGGGAAGCCTCTGGCGCTTAAGAAGAAGAAGCAATTAAGAGAAGGGACCGTTTCGCCAAGATGTGATCGCTGCTGCTGCAGCGCGAAGCAAAGGCGAATCATGCTATTTTGACATGCTAGTTCTTCAAAGGCTGATGCACCCTGCTCATTCTAGGTGTATTTTGAGTCGACTCAAAATACAGCTACGTTGCACCCCCTTCCCCTCCCCTCGTTTTTCCCCTGCAGATGTCAGTTGAGGAGGCAAGGAAGAGAATGTACCGGCCGGCCAAGATGCGATCGCTGCTGCTGCACGAAGCAAAAGCAATACATGCTGCTCTACTTTCCTCCCTTCTCATTCTACTCCTCTTACCCTCCTCTCTTTCACCCCTCCGCTCTTCCCCCTCCCCTCAGATGTCAATAGAGGAAGCAAGGGAGAGGAGGATGAACCGTTTGGCCAAGATGTGATCGCTGATGCTGCAGCACGAAGTGAAGGCAAATCATGCTGGTACTTACTCCCCCCCCATCCTTTTTTTCCTCCCCCCCTCCCTTCTACCGTGTCAGATGTCAGTTGAAGAGGCACGGGACAGGATGAACCGGCTGGCCAAGATGCGATCGCTGCTGCTGCAACACGAAGCCAAGGCAAAGCGAGTGAAGAAGATCAAATCCAAGACCTTCCACAAAATGGAGCGGAAAGCCGAGGAGAGGAAGAGGAAGAAGGCGCTTGCAGGGGGGGGAGGAGAGGTGGGGGTGGGGGGAGGAGGAGAGGAGGAGGAATGGGAGGATAAGGAGGCGGCGAGAGAGGCGGCGATCAAGCAGGAGTTTTTGAGGGCTAAGGAACGGATGACCCTTCGACATAAGAACACCTCTAAGTGGGCCAAGAGGATTATAGAGAGGGGAATGGCTGCTAAGGCTGCCGTGGGGGGCCAGGGGACGAGGGAGGCTATAGCCGAACAGCTAAGAACGCATGCCTTGCTTACGAGGAAGATTCATTCTGCGACAATTGGGAGGGGAGAGGGAGAGGAGGAGGAAGAGGAGGGGGAGGACGGGGAGTGGGGAGAGGAGGGGAGTGGGGAGGAAACAGGGGGGAGTGAGGGGGAGGAGGAGGGTGGGAGAGGAGGGGGAGGGAGGGGGGAGAAGGAAGCGAGAAGGCTGGTAGCTAGTGCTAAGGCGAGGATAATGAGGGCGCTGGAAGGGAAAGGGGGAGCGGATGGGGGGAGGGGGAGGAGGGGGATGGGGCAACGAAGACTGGTCTCTTTGCCTTGCCGTTTATGGCGAAGGCTATAGAGAGGAGGAAATTAGAGGCTCAGAAGGAAGCTATAGAGGCGATTAAAGACCTAGAGCAGGGGTTGGAAGGGGAGGGGTATGAGGATGGAGAGGATGGTGGGGGTGAGAGGAGGGGAGGGGGAAGTGGGGAGAAGGGGGGATTGGGTGGGGGTAGTGGTGGGTGGGGGGGAGGAGGGTGGGGAGAGGAGGAGGAGGAAGGAGAGAGGGTGGGAGCAGGGAGGAGGGTGTTTGGGAATTTGGGAGAGAGGGTAGTGGGAGGGGAGGGGCAGGAGGAGAGAGACGAATGGGTGGCAGTGCGGGAAGGGGAAGGGGAGGAAGGCGAGGTTGACGAGGAGGGAGGGAGAAGGGGAGGCGGGGGGGATGTGGAGGGGAAAGGGCAGGGCGGAGGAGGGAAGAGTGGGGGGAAGGGCGAGGGGAGGGAGTTGAAGGAGGAGAGGGAGGCAGCAAGACAGATGAAGGAAATGCTTCAAGCTGGACGAGGGTTCGCCTTTACTGGGGTGAGTTCAATTGAGGGAGGCCCAGGCAGAGGCTGAGGCAGCAGGAGCAGATGGGAGTTGGCAACCCCCCTCCTCCCCCTTCTCCCCCTTCTCCCCCTTCTCCCCGTTCTCTGCTTCCTTCTTCTCCCCTTCCCCCCCCTGCTGTTGCCACTTGTTGACAGCACTGCAGCAGGCTCACTGGACGTCTCCCTGCCCTTACTCGTATTAGATGTGAGGGGGGCCGGGGCAGCAGCAGCAGCAGCTGGGAGTTGCAATGCATGCTCACAACTCCCCCACCCCCTCTCCCCTCGTCTCCCTTTCTCCCCCTCCAGTTGCCGCTTGCTGACAGCACTGCAGTAGCCTCACTGGAACTACCACTCCAATTATCCGTACCAGATGTACATGAGGCCGAGGCAGCCGCAGCAGATCCGCGCTGCAAGGCACACACTCACACGCCCGCAAACCACTCCCCCCACCCCCCCTCCTAATTCTTCCCTTCCCGCCCCTCCAGTTGCCGCTTGCTGACAGCACTGCAGCTGCCTCACTGGACGCCTCCTCTGCTCTCAGATGTGAGGGGGGCCGGGGCAGCAGCAGCAGCAGCTGGGAGTTGCGGTGCATGCTCACAACTCCCCCACCCCCTCTCCCCTTGTCTCCCTTTCCCCCCCTCCAGTTGCCGCTTGCTGACAGCACTGCAGCTGCCTCACTGGACGTCTCACTCCCATTATCCGTACCAGATGTGAGGAGGGCAGCAGCAGCAGCAGCAGGGTGCAGTAACCTGCAGTCTATGCTGCGGCACACAGGGGGGGGAGGGGAGAGGGGGATGAGTGAGGAAGAGGGGGAGAGAGAGGGTGGGATGGTGGAGGAGGAGGAAGAGGAGGAGGAAGGGAGAGAGGAGGACGGGGGAGAAGGGGGAGTGAAGGGGAAGAAGAGGGCAAAGAAGAGTGGAGGGGAAGGGGGTAAGACAGATGATGGCTATGGTATGGGTGTTGTGGGCGTTATGCAGGATGACAATAGCGAGAGTGAGAAGGAGGATGGGGAGGAGGATATAGACGATGGAGTGGCTTATAACGAGGGGATGCGCGTGGAGGGTAAGGGGGATGCTTATATGGGGGATGCGGAATGGGGCGAGGAGGCGGGAGAAAGAGTGGAACGGGGGATAGAGGAGGAGGAGGGGGGGGAGGAGGGAGGGGAGAGACAGACAGGCAAGAAGAGAAAGGGGCTCGGAGAGAATGGAGGGAGCGAGTACGAAAAGGAACAAGCCGAGCTCATGCGATTGGCCTTCGCAGGAGATGACGTGGCAGCGGAATTCGAGGCGGAGAAGGAGCGGGTAGTTGAGAAGGAAGTGGGGAGGGAGGAGGGGCCGGTGACCCTACCCGGGTGGGGGCAGTGGGAGGAGGTGCAGAGGAGGAAGGGGGCGCCTAAGTGGATAGAGGAGGAGCGGGAAGCGGCTAAGAGGAGGCGGATGGACGCTGTGAAGCAGAGGGCGGACTCAAAGCTGAAGCACGTGATCGTGTCGGAGAAGGACAACAAGAAGGTGAGTTTCTTTTGGGGGGGGGGGGGGGCTAACAGTGGGACAACAGGGCTGGAAGCTGAAGCACGTGATTGTGTCAGAGAAGGGTAGCAAGAAGGTGAGCTGGGGGGAGGGGAGAGAGAAACGGAAGGACTCGAAGCTGAAGGATTCGAACCTGAAGCACGTGATTGTATTGGAGAAAGACAACAAGGTGAGCTGGGGGGGGCTTGGGGAGAGCGGGGAGAGGGAGGGGGGGGGGGGGAGGGGAGAAAGGATTGAGCGGCAGGGTAAGTATTTGAAGCTCATGCACGTGATTGTGTCAGAGAAGGATAAATCAGAGGGTGGGCTTAGGGAGGGGGGAGAGGGGAGGAGTTGAAGACGAAAGTGTAATTGGTGGGAGAAATGTGATGTGGTCATAAACTCATAGATACTTGCAACATGTGGTGTAGCACTCCGTAACCTATTTATTCCATGAATTCTTAAAGCCGCGGTACACATTCACTTCAATTTGAAGTGATAAACATTTGAAACAGTGGTAACTGAGTGATGCCTGCTGGAGGTGATGAGGTCTCGCTACCTGCAGATAAACATTTGAGGGGGGATTGTGGCATTTGTGTACTGATAATCCCGATCTCCACCTGTCGACTCATCCCCGCTTCCCCACGTTTTCCCCACGTTTTCGATCGCTCCTTCCCCTAACAATCTCGATTGCCCCTGGCCCCCCAATTTCGAAATTTCCCCCTGCCCCCTCAATCTCGATTCCCCCTGGCCCCCCAATTTCGAAACTCCCCCCTGCCCTCCCAAAATTCGATCTCCCCTGCCACTCCTCGCTCGTCCAACCCCCCCCGTCAATTTCGTTACCCCCTTCCCCTGGCTAGTCCAATTCCCCCCCAGTCAAGTTCGGTTCCCCCCGCCCCTCGCAATTCCAATTTCCCCCGTCAAGTTTGATTCCCCCCACCCCGCAAAATCCAATCCCCCAACACAAATCCGTTTCCCCCAGTATCGCAAGTCAAATTTTCCCCACTACGAAACTCAGTCCAATTCGCGTCAATATTTTTCTTTCGCCTCTCGCCCTCCAATCACTTCCATCCCCCTTTCTTGACCTCCACATTTCCATCCCAAGCCGCGTTGAATGTGTACCACGGCTTTTAATGTTTCTGGTATTCGCCTCCCTCCATGCCACGCACTCTCCCATGGGCAGATCGAGAAGTTTTTTGTGCCCGAGCTGCCCAACATGTATCGAAACCGGGCAGAGTATGCGCGCAGCATCCGCACCCCCATTGGCCGGGACTTCAACACCGAAGCAGCTTTCCGCTCCATGACCCGGCCAGCGGTGAGTGCGGCTACAGTTACAGTTACAGTTACAGTTACACGGCTCCTTGCGGTAGTGGGTGCGGGGGGGAGGGATGAGCCTTGAACACAGGAGCATCTTTCCGCTCCATGACCTGACCAGCGGTGAGTGCGGCTACAGTTACAGTTACAGTTAGAGTTACAGTTACAGTTACAGTTAGAGTTACAGTTACATGGCTACTGGCGGTAGTGGGTGCGGCGGGGAGGGATGGGGCTTGAACACAGGAGCATCTTCCCGCAGCATGACCTGACCAGCGGTGAGCCTGCGCTCTATCCTTCTCTTCTTGGCTCTCTATCCAATGAGGAGCCTGCAGAGCCAGGGGCTGGTTTCTCTCTTCTTTCTTTTCATATTCATTAGTCATGTATTGCTGCAGAGACAGGGGCTGGTGATGAAGCCGGTGGGAGTGGTCATTCACCTGCAGAGACAGGGGCTGGTTTCTCTTTTCTTTTCATGTTTATTACTTGAGTATTGCGTGCGTTGTTGCAGGTGATGAAGCCGGTGGGAGTGGTTATTCGCCCCATCATATAAGTCGCTAGGGACCTCAGGGCCCATGGAAGTGGAACCAGCAAGGGAAGGGGCTGATTTCTCTTTTCTTTTCATGTTCGTTGCTTGGTGTTTTTGCGGGTTGTTACAGGTGATGAAGCCAGTGGGAGTGGTCATTAAGCCGGTCAGATACGTAAAGAACGCGGGGCCCGCTGAGGAACCCACCAAAAATGCTGCTGGTGCAAAGAAGGGGGCTAAGGGAGGGGGAAAGGGCAAGGTTGGAGGTAAAGCTGGCAACAAGCAGGGGAAAGGCGGAGGTGGCGGCGGCGGTGGTCGTGATGGTGGTGGTGGTGGGAAGGCAAAGGGAGTTGGAAATGGGAATGGTGGGAAGGGTAAGGCGAAGGTTCATAAGTCGTAGCAACAGCTAGTTGGACGCTGCTCGCTGGAGATTCTGGATAAACGGTTGAGATAGGCCGAGCGTTCTGGATCCTGGACAGGGTGTTCCTGGATCCTTGCGATGCGAATGCTCACAGCTGCCCTGCAACCATTATGGACTCAGCGCCGTGTGCAGGGTTTCAGCAAGGATTTTAGGCCGTCTGACATTCAGCCGGGGTTTCAAACTTTCGTCTGACCATCATACGATTTTTTTTGGCCGGTCTGGTGTTTCAGACGAAACTTTTGGCATGGTCTTACAATTCAGACAAAACGTTGCGGGGGTTTTGTCAAACATATATTGTATGTTTTTGTAGACTATATAGGGTTGCACCTTAGGGAGTACAACCCATTAGGTTATATTCCCGTGTATGCCTTGCTCTAATCATTCTTTCACTTGAACATGGTATCATGAGTAGGTAGGTCCCCCCCCCCACCTAGCGCTTCCGCCCTAGGTCCTAGCTGCCTCGTCGCCCTGCGGCTCGTCACCGCGCGGCCCCGCGGCCCCGTCCCCTAGCGGCCCCCCGGCCCTGTCACCAAGCGACTCCGCGGCCCCGTCCCCTAGCGGCCCCGTGGCCCCGTCCCTAGCAGCCCCGCGGCCCTGTCACCTCGCGGCCTCACGGTCCCGTTACCTAGCGGCTCCGCGGCCCCGTCCCCTTGCGGCCCTGCGGCCCCGTCACCTAGCTGCCCCGCGGCCCCGCCCCCTAGCAGACCCGCGGCCCCGTCCCCTAGCGGCCCCGCGGCCCCGTCCCTAGCAGCCCCACGGCCCCGTCACCTCGCGGCCTCACGGCCCCGTTACCTAGCGGCTCCGCGGCCCCGCCCCCTTGCGGCCCCGCGGCCCCGTCACCTAGCTGGCCCGCGGCCCCGCCCCCTAGCGACCCCGCGGCCCCGTCCCCTAGCTGCCCCGTGGCCCCGTCCCTAGCGGCCTCGCGGCCTCGTCCCCTAGCAGCCCCGAGGCCCCGTCACCTAGCCGGCCTCGTCGCCTAGCCGGCCCCGTCTCCCTGCCGGCCCCGCCTCTTTGCCAACCCTGTCGCCTCGCCGCCCGCGGCCCCGTCTTCTAGACGCCTCGCCGCCGTCCTCGGCGCCTCTGCACCGCGTTGCACTGCCCGGCACCGCTTTGCACCACCCTGCACCGCACTACACCGCACTGCACTACACCCTACCATACTGCACCTCCCTCCACCGCACAGTACCGCTCTGCACCGCACATCACCGCTTTCTGTCGCGCTCTCTTGCCCAGTACTGTCTTTCTCCTACTGCTGCAATCATGATGGCGGACTCGGTCCTGCGTTTTGATGCTGAGGGGAAGCCGATTGAGTTCAACTCGTGGCTCGTCGACCTCCAGCGACACCAGACTGGTCAGCGGCAGGACGGCCACTCCCTGGCCGTCCACATCGATGGAACGCTCCCCTGCCCGGACCCCCCTGCTGCCCTCCCCACTGACCCCACCTCTGCTGACCGTGAGTCTGCTGCAGCTTTTTTCCTTGCCCGTGATGTCTGGTTATCGCGTGACGCTGTCGCACAGCTTGCGATTAGTCATGCCCTTCCCCTGTCCGAGCGCCCCCGCTTTAGGCCGATCCGGACTGCGCAGGAGTTCCTAGAGGCTATTGTTGCGCGCCATTCCACCCCTCCCTCTGCCTCTGTAGGTCGCCTGATCCTGCCTATACTCTTTCCTTACCTTGCGTCTTTCCCCACTGTCGCTGACCTAGCCGCCCACCTGCGCACGATAGACACGACCTGGCGCGCTGCCTGCACTGAGGCTCAGCTTCGTAAGTTTCAGCCCCCCATTTGCTCTACCCTCTACCTGCTTGCCACCCGCCTCCCTGACCGTCTTGCCACCGCCCGCAATAACTTCCTTAGTCTCCACCCCGCTTACCTCACCCTCACTGACTTTGTCGACACCCTTTCTGCCATAGAGACCCGTCAACGCTCTATCGCCTAGTCTAGCGGTACCGTGCCAGTCTCTATCTTTTAGGGCTGTGCCCTCGCTCAGTGCACTTACTCCGACGGTTCTGCTGCGGTTGCTGAGAAAGCTCTGGCTGTGAAGACAACCGCCGCAATGTAGTTTCGTCCAGGTAAGGGTCGCCGCCCCAAGGCTGGGCGCGGTGGAGGTAGCGGAGGAGGGAGTGGTGCCGGTAGTGGAGGTGGCTCGCCCGCTGGTAGTACTGACGAGGGGGCTGGGGCAAGTGCCCCGGAGCAGCCACCCCAGCAGCAACAGCAGGCTCCGCAGCTGGACCAGTAGCAGCAGTGGAGGGTCGGCCGTCTCCCGCCCGAGTGGCTTGGAGCTGGAGGTGACGGTGGTCGTAGTGGTCGCTCGCGCGGCGTGTTGTCGAGTGGTAGTCCGGATGACAGGCGCTGCCAGTACCATCTCCAGACCGGTCCTCGCCGCGGCCACGTGTGCAGTATCGGTCATACCCCCGCTCGTTTCTTTTGTCGTCTAGACGACCTGTTTCGTCTCCGCTTCGGCCCGTCACCTGACCTCCCCGATTGGCACAGTCTGCTCCGTCGTCGTGTTCAGATCTTTGATATGGACATAGATGAGATTAGCTCTACTTTGTATGCGTTGTATGTTGATGACTCTAGTGTGACTGATTCCTATTACCCTATGTTGCCTAGCGTAGGTGTGCCCAGTGTGCCTAGTTCAGGCTCCTCTGCTGCGTCAGGCGTAGGATCCCCTGCCTTGTTTAGCTTAGGGTCCTCCCTCGCTCCTCCGACCTCTGTCACCGCTGCCGCACCCTCCTTCACCCTGGACTCTGGAGCTTCCCGGTGTTTCTTTCGCGACTCCACGATGCTTACGCCGCTTGTCGCTCCTGCTGTAGTTGCTCTTGCAGACCCTTCCTCCGGTCCTGTAGTTGCATGTAGCTCCACTACTTCCTAGTGCTTGTCGACAACTACATCCGCTACACCGCCATCTTTCCCCTGGAGTAGAAGGCCGATGTGCCTGACGTTCTTCTCCTGTGGCTTGTCTCTGCGCGTGTTCACCGAGGTCTCCATGTCTTGCGTCTTCACTCTGACCGTGGTGGCGAGTTTGCCTCTGGCTGCCTTGGTCGCTTCTGTCGTGCGGAGGGCATCACCCAGACGTTCACCCTGCCGGACTCCCCGCAGCAGAATGGGGTCGCTGAGCGATGCATCGGTTTGGTCATAGAGGTGGCTCGTACCTCCATGATCCATGCCAGTGCACCCCATTTTTTGTGGCCGTCCGCCGTTCGCTATGCCACTCACCAGCTTAACCTCTAGCCGCACCCTCAGCAGTCGCAGGTTTCGCCGACCCTCCTCTGGACCTGGTCCCCTGGTGTCGCATCTGCTTTCCACGTCTGGGGCTGCCTTGCACACATTCGTGCCTCTAGCACGGACAAGCTCACAGCCCGCACTGTCCCCTGTGTCTTCCTAGGTTTCCCCCTCGACTCGTCGGACTGGCAGTTCTACCACCCGCCTTCTCACCGGTTCTTTCACTCTCGTGACATCACTTTTGACGAGTCCGTCTCCTTCTACCACCGCTTTCCCCACCGTGGTCCCCCTGTCACTCCCCCCCAGTTCCTGGTGCCCCCCCCTCCCCCGGTCGACCCTGTCCACCCCCCTCCCCACCCTGCCCCGTCTGGTGTGTCTCACGTCACCCCCCTCCCGCCGGTTGTCCCTACTGAGGAGTCCGCTGACTCTCCCGGCTCGGCGGAGTCTCTTCCCCCGCCTGTCCCTACCCCGGTCTCGCCTCCCCTGTCGTCGCCGCTGCTGTCCCCGCCGCAGCCGCCTCCGCCATTGCCGCCGCAGCCGCAGCCGCTGTCGTCACCGCCGTTGGGGTTCGTGCATTCTGGGGGTGCTGGGGAGCAGGCTGGAGCTGGTTCTAGAACGGGCTCTGGGGTACTGGCGTGGGGCTTCTCGGAGGGAGCCGTGTTGTAGCTGGAGGTTTTGGTGTCGGATTCGGGTAGCAGTTGCAGATGTCGCCGCCGGTGTCCGCTCTTCGCCTCCTTGGTCTCCCTTCCCCTGACCGCCCGTCGCTGCCTCCTCCGCTACCGCCGCCTCCTCCTCTGCCGGTCCATGGCCCCGTGTTTCCTCCCCCGGACTCCTCTCTAGCTCGTTTCCCTGCCCGTTCTCCTCCTGTGTCTCCTCCCCTCTCTCCTGACCCGACTCCTCCATCTCACGTCTGGTCTCTTCGTCCGTCTCGTGCTCGTCCTACCTTCCCTGTTCCACGTTCTCACCCTATGTTGCTTCGCTCTCACGCATCTTGTGCTCCTCCTCTCCTCCCGTCTCCTCCCCCGTCGCCGCTTACTGTGGCCGCGCCTCCGTTCTCAGACTTCCTCCATGCTGCGTGTCCCCTTGTTCCTCGTGTCCTTGCCTCTCTCGTTACCGACCCGTCCGTTCCAGTCTCGAGTCTATCGGCTCTTGTCGCTGCTGTCACTGACTTCACCGCTACCCGCCGCCTGGACTACGCCACCGCTCTGGTCTCTGGCCCTGCCTACCCTCCGGCCGTCAAGGGTGTGGCTGCTCTTGGCAGTGACGTCCTAGAGGACATGCATTTTGAGCTCGCTTTCCTGTCTGAGGCCGCTCCCCATCTCTGTTCCATGCCACTAGTCAGTGAGGGTGACCCAGACGCCCTGGACATCCGGACCCCTCGCACCTACGCTGAGGCCACCTCGGAACCCTGTGCCTCTCAGTGGATAGCTGCCATGGAGCAAGAGATGGCATCTTGGAGATCCACCAGTACCTTCGTCGACGCAGTTCCCCCACCTGGGGTGAACGTCGTCGATGGGTGGTGGCTCTTCAAGGTGAAGCGCCCTCCTGGAGAGCCGCCTATCTTCAAGGTGTGCTAAGTGGCTCGTGGTTTCAGTCAGCATGAGGGGGTGGACTTCTTTCAGACCTTAGCCCCAACCCCGAAGATGACCACTCTTCGGGCACTGCTCTACGTAGCAGCACAGCGTGACAACGAGCTGCACTCCCTCAACTTCTCCACAGCTTTCCTCCAGCGCAGTCTACACGAGCAGGTCTACCTGCGCCGCCCCCAGGGCTTCTCCAGTACCTTTTTCCCTGGCACCGAGTGGCTCCTCTGGCGCCCCGTCCACGGCTTGCGACAGGCGCCCCGTGAGTGGCACGACACGTTGCCTGCTACACTTGCTGAACTGCAGTTCTTCCCTTTGTCTGCAGACCCCTCGCTCTTTGTCTGTTCCGACCAGCCTCAGGTCTACATCCTTGTCTACGTAGACGATCTGGTCTTTGCTACTGCAGACAGAGAGGCAGTGGCCGCAGTGAAGGACAAGCTACTGAGGAGACACACCTGCACTGACCTAGAGAGCTGTGCCGCTACCTTGGCTAGCAGATCTTTAGGGACAGAGCAGCGCACACCATCACTCTCTCACAGTCACACTTGGTGCGCCAGGTCCT